GACTGTTTTTATCATCGGAATTTGCCAGTCTTTTAAGTCTAGTTTTCACTTTTCTCAAAAATTCACTTCAATTACACACAGTCAACAGATAAGCCCAGCAGGCAAACGACATTGATTCTACGTTGATTCAACGTTGATCCACCAAAATTAACGTTGATTCAACGGTGAATCGACGTCGTTTGTCTGTTGGGAAGCTTACCTCAATCATAATCAAGTTGCTCTTTCTGTAGACTGAAACACAGATCTAACTTTAAAAACCAACCTTATTAGATTTTTGCTCACATACACCTGTACATACACTGTAGATTCATGTGTGGACATACAAAGACGCAGATGTCATATACAGCTACATGTAGTATGTTGATATCATAATGTGATAGATACTTATTGCAACAGAGACGATCATATTTTCCTCCAGGTGGCGTTATAGTACTGCCCAGTTTGTCAAACGTGGCGAAAACTGTTCAGATAAATGCAGTGGACCAATTTAGAATCGCCATTGACCTACATAATATTATTTCATTTTTGGTGTTTTCTTCTGGTTTGTTTTTGAAATATATTTAACACAAATGCACTATATATATATATATATATATATATATATATATATATATATATATATATATATATATATATATATATATGCATTTTGATTTTAGTAAATTTTTAATCAAGTTTTGCTTGTCTGTCTGTCAGATAAGGGTGAGGGTTGGACAGAAAAGCTTTAGCCCCTCCCCCATAAAGCAAATTGAACCTACTCTCTTGGAAGAGTCGTTACACCATACGTGATCAGGGAGTGGATGCGAGGCGGTCTGGAAACTAAGTATACGAATATTTATGTTTTAACCTATTCAGTATAACGTTTCAATGTATCAGTGTTAGGGATTTAATGTTCACTTATTTGTAATTTATTTTATAAGAAGGACTGTGACGCGTGCATGCATAAAAATGGTTTGACCATTCCCCAGTGTTTCCCCCACAACATTTTGCTTCCTCCATTACTTCATCTTATCACGTCCTACGGAAATGACAATTATTTCGAACTTCGTTAGTAGAAAAGGTATCGTCAGTTAAAGACGTACCAGGAGTATATTTGAAAGAAGCAGACAAAAAGGGGAAATGTGTGGAATCTCCGATTTAAATCCCTTTTTATTTACTTTTGTAAATATTTGTTGTAAGCGTTTGGAGGTTGAAATAAAAAGAGCGTAACAGACAGTAGGTACACTGTATATGTATTACACTTCCATTTCTAATTTGGGCACGATTTCACTAGTCCAGTTGTACTATTTCAGTCCGTTGAATATAAGTTGAATTATAGCTACACTGTACAGATTTTTGTGTGACGGGAGCTTTAAAAATGTGGGTTCACTAACCAACAATGTCAACCCTTCAAGGCATAGGGGGCGAACTGATAGCGCAAAATTATGTTTCAATCAAATGTTAATCGTTCTGTCGATACTTTTAAAATTAAGCATTGGGTATTAGAAACATGGCATGTCTAAGACTGCGTGGTCGTCAGATACAGGTTTGGTTTATTTCAGTAAAGATATCTGCCCGTAATGCCTTTCAACTTGCTCTATTCTAGTAAGACCTTCAAGTTTGCCGCCGTGGCCTTTGTTAAATGGTACTACAATAATGATTACCCTCTACCAGGGCCACAGATTGATTTTTCACTAGATACACGTTTTCACAGATATGTCGCTAGTTAAACAATAGGACTTTTCTGTCCTGCATGCGTCAGAGAAAAGTGCACATGAAATCAGCGGCCCTGGGAGATTGTTGGTTGGAAACGTGACATTGTTTTTCAATAATAAAAAAAATGTAATGTGTTGGGAAAATCTTCTGTGTTAATAAAGATTAACAAATGGTGGGTTCATTATCCAACAATATTTGGTTAAAATATATACCATAAATAATAATGGCTATTTTATAACTATTCAAAATAACGATGTTTCCAACTTTTTAGGGCGAAAGTACCAGCAAGGTAACGAGTGGTGACTTGGCGTTACGTTGTCGTGCGAATAAAATATGCACAAATATGGAAACTTTTGATTGTCCAGATCATCATTTTTTTTTTCAAGACGAAAGTGAATATTTTGAAAGATCACTTGGAACTTACAACAATTTACTGATATATTTTCCCAACAGCGATTTTCATGATATGTCTTTTTTCCACGTTTTATGCTATTGTAATAATAAATCAAATAAATCATTTGATGAACTGCTTTATATCTCTTTAATTACTGTCAATTTCTCAAATTTGTTTTGAATTTTTTTAAATGCTTGTAGATATTGATAACAACAAACCATAAACGAGTAGTTAAGTTGACCGTTTATTGGTGAAATGTAATACATTTGTTGTATATGTTACACCTTTGAGATATAACTTTGTCTTACATGCATGTCTTACAGATATTCAAAGTGATTAAGTAGTGATTTAAGTGTTCTTAAACTTGGTAGTTTTAGAATAAAATGCTTTAATATAATTAATACGTAGTTATTTGGGACTGAATAAAGACTTTCCAAGTATACAAAATGTCTCAGTTATTTCTTTGACGGTTGCGTTTCTCAGCGGCACCCTGGGGTTGGGCTTCGACCTTGGCTTACGTTTCTAAAATTTCTTTAATGTATTGGGATTTTTATTAGAAGTTTACTTTGGTTACTACAATAATTTGTCTCGGTGCTACCCCTCGGGTTTGGGTTCGTTTCCTGGTCCGGGTACTTGGAAATCATTGAATACTTTTCAAGGGCTTTACAGAAATTTCCCTTTGGTTACTATAAGAGGAAAGTCTTCCCGAGGAGGGTGGGTGGGAACACTTAGAGGAGTAGGTAACGCGCTTGCCTCCGAGTCAGAAAGTCCCAAGTTCGAAACCTGGCGCTACTGGGTCCCAGCAAATTACCTTTTGCAAAAAATTCAAACAAGCAAGATATCTAATACAAGAGGCTCTTTAGGTAAGACGACACACCTGTGCACTGGAGAACTAGAGTTAGAATAGAGCTAAAGGGAACAGAAGGTGAAAAATGAAAGGGAATTCAACACAAATATCTGTACTTTATTTTCATTATTTATTGTGTCAACAAATTCCAAGTAATTTCAACGAAGTTTTATACAAAACAACATACGTGAAGTTACGTTTTTTCTACGTTAATAGCAACCATTACAATAGCGTCAAATTTCTAAAAAATTCTATAAATTATGCTTTTACAAAAAAATACAAGAAGTCTACCAGATAGTAGACTAACTAACACATATGAAGGATTTCATGCACTTTGGAAATTGCTGCTCAAACAACGAATTCTTTTTATTTATATAAAAGAGAATTTCGACATAATCCTTACCAAAACAAAATTCATATAAAAAATTGACCAAGAGTGGTAGATAAATTGAAAGGCCGATCATATCGTACTTGTCAAATTTTCATGTCAAATGTTCAAAGTTGACGTTAATAATTCCATTGAGGAGCAAAGTGTCCAATTTCAGTGGTGTGAATGATATCGAAATTCCAAAATGCATATAATCTCACATCTAGGCGACTTCCCCTCACGTGCACTCGCACTCACGCACACCTTGTTCTATGCCGTCGTGCTGATTCCCGCACAGAAAAAGGTAGACAAAGATAGTCATTTTTAAGAATCGAGTGTTTTACGTTATTTTTCTTATTCCATTACATCCTTAATATTGGTAGGTTAATGGCACGACTTTGAGCGAAAACTTAAATTTGCACATATGCGAATCAGGAACGGCATAAAGACATGGTCAATTTCCAAGCTTATTCTAGTCATGACAAATATACAAACAAAACTGAAAAGATTACGCAGAAAGAAAAACGGTGACCTAAAATTCATTTATACACAAATGCTAACACCCTTACTATGGTCTCCGGTGCTCAGTAATAAAGAAACACTTAGCAAAAATACCCCAACAAGACGCGCAGGACTGGCATCTAATCAGACCTTTTTCTCTCAATCACCCCTCAATCACAGCCAAAGAAATATTAATTAATAATGCACTTCGAACAAGGTACATGGGTGAACGTAACTTCAGTGAATTATTTGGGACAACTCTTCAACCCCTCTGCCCCTCCCCCTCCCC